TCAAGCGAGTGGAGTTACGCAGATTTACTCCACCTGAAGTTCTCTCTGCCTATTTTGGGTCATCAACACACACATTTCCAGGTTCCAGTGACTTTGGAAGTTGCCTGGACTATAGCTGGTGCTTTTACTGGACAAGATATTTTAAAAGAAAACAAACGCATATGTCTCTTCAGATTCTGTTTTTTCCTACACTTTTGCTTAAGATCTCCTTAAATATCTACCTGTAATTACCCTTCTAATTTCCTGATTACAGAAGCTCAATTTAAAAACAAAAAAAAAAAAAAAAAGAATTTTCCTTCCATATACACCCAAACTTGAAATCCTACAGTCAGGCTGCTTCTTCCTCTGTCGTGCATGACGAACCCAAGGAAGGGTTCTGCAAGCTAGATTATGCCCTCTTGTATCTTTACAATCCCAATGAAATACTGCTTCCTTTACTATCACATCAGCACAGCACTTGCATGGGTGCATAAACTCTTTATGGAGTAGAACAGTTCACCAGGCCTTTGCAAAGAGGATGTAAAGCACACCTCAACAGTCAGCTACAACGGAGCTGACAAAAGGGATGCTACAGGCAGAAAAGTAATCCCCGTGAAAAAGCGTAAAACCAGTTTACCTTAACCCTTCTGACATCGTACTATTTTCTTCCCCCTTTCTCTTATCACTTTCACCCCCTCTCCCACTCTGTCAGCAATCCTTAACATGCAGTCTTTGCTATGCAGATTTCGCATACTCACTAACAGGCAGTTTATACAAGCATTAGTATCAACGGCCCTGCCAAATATAGCAGTGCACTTTGCAGTTCACCATTTACTCACAGATGATGAGTTTTCAGTCTTTAATGAACAGCAATAATCCAAAGCTTTTATTTTATTTTCATTTCCCAAACTATAACCTGAAGATACACATGCATTTTTCTTGAGCTCTTCTCCCAAGATGGACAGCCCCCACATACTTCTTCCTTCTAACGAACAAGGCAGAATACAGAAAAAATACATAGTGCTCAGAGAGGCACTGAAATTCAGGCACTGTTCCTCCTAAATTCAGAATTGTGTTCTACCTCCCTTCCTCCATTAAAAGTGCTGAGCTCAGCACCTTTTCTTTCACAACTGCCAAGAAGAAATCCATCCATCACCCAGCACGTACCCTTGTCTCCGTGATGGATTTATTTCCTCTGTGTGGGATGGGGGCAGCAACAGCACGCACGCACACTCCTACAGCCTTCTCCCCACAGCTTGAACTCCTTTGTTCTAGCCATTTGATCCCAAGGCTATCTGGAAAGATTTTAAAGTTAGCCTGGGATCACATTCGAAATGCGTGAGAACTGGCACATTTCAGCCTCACATACGGAATCAGCAGTAGACATATCACAGATCCACTAGCTCACGAGGATCAAATACTTACTGCTCTTGTAAACGTAGCCTGCTGCAAATTTAAGTTGGGACACCGAAGTAAACTCTGAATTTAGAGAAATCTGCTTTCTAAGACTTGAGGGACTGCACTCAGCACAAAAGCCTATTCAGGTATGCTACCCAAGTGTTAGATGCAGAACAGTAAGTTAAAGACAGAACTTGTAAACTCACGTTTCTTAGGTTGTAGGCCTAATTGTTGACTAGACTCCTAACACGTTTACATTTACAGTGCTCATTGGAAATGTGTTAGCTATATTAGGGATAAATTAATGTATGCAGGGATTTGTCCAAAAATCCATTAAGGAGGACACTCCATTAATCAAGCACAGAAGTGGTCAGGGCACAATTCAATGCTTCAGTGTGCAACCAAAGAGATAGATGTGTGAAATGCCTGTAAAAAAATGTCTGAAATGCCTGTATACCAATGAACACAGCATGGGGAATAAGCAGGAAGAGTTAGAGATCTGTGTGCGGTCGCAGGGCCATGATTTCATTGCAGTGACAGAGACATGGTGGGATAGTTCACAGGACTGGGATGCTGTCATGGATGGCTATGTGCTTTTTAGGAAAGACAGGCCAGGAAGGCGAGGTGGTGGAGTTGCTCTTTATGTGAGGGAGCAACTAGAATGTATGGAGCTCTGCCTCGGGGTGGATGAAGAGCAAGTTGAGAGCCTATGGGTAAGGATTAAAGGGCAGGGTAACATGGGTGACACTGTTGTGGGGGGTCTACTACAGGCCACCTGACCAGGAGGAAGTCATCGATGAGGCCTTCTACCGACAGCTGGAAGTAGCCTCACGATCACAGGCCCTGGTTCTCATGGGAGACTTCAACCACCCTGACATCTG